ATGACGTCCCAGGATTTGCTTGATAAGCATCTATGGATGCAAGCCAGTGTTTTGGTCGCTTACTAGCCGCAGCATTGCATTGCAGGCTCATGTTCATCTTGTGGTCAATGATGACACCCAAGTCTCTTTCTTCTGTAGTGCTAACCAGCGTAGCACTGCCGAGACTATAAGGATGCTGCAGGTTTTTCCTCCCAAGGTGGAGAACTTTGCATTTTTTGGTGTTAAACACCATCAGGTTCTTGTCCGCCCATTTGCTGAGCCTGTCCAGGTCAACCTGGATCGCCCTCCTGTCTTCAGGTGTGGATGCTTTGCCCCAAAGTTTGGTGTCATCGGCGAACTTGGCCAGTCCACTTCTGACTCCAATGTCCACATCATTAATGAAGATGTTGAACAATATGGGTCGAAGGACAGAGCCTTGGGGGACCCCACTGGTCACAGGGCACCATGATGATTGACTTCCGTCAATTACCACCCTCTGGGTCCAACCATGGAGCCAATTTCCCAGCCAGAAGATCGTGGTGGACCCAAGGCCACAATTGGCCAGTTTCGCCAAGAGGTGATCGTGGGATACCAGATTGAAGGCTTTTTTGAAGTCAAGATATATGGCATCAATCTCTTCTACCTTTTCCAGGTGATAGGTCACCTGGTCGTAGAAGGAAATGAGATTGGTCAAGCAAGATCTACCCGCAACAAACCCATGCTGGCTATCCCTCAGGATGTTAGCATCAGCCAGTCCATTAAGGATGGCCTTTTTAATAAACTTTTCTAAGACCTTCCCCGGGATAGAAGTCAGGCTGATGGGCCTATAGTTTGCTGGATCCACTTTCCTCCCTTTCTTGAAAATAGGCACCACATTGGCCTTCTTTCAGTCTTCGGGCACTACACCAGAGTGCCAGGCGTTCTCAAAGATCCATGCCAGAGGCTGGGCTATGATGCGTGCCAGCTCCTTGAGTACCCTCGGGGTGTAGATTGTCAGGGCCAGCTGACTTGAAGGTGTACAGCCTCTCAAGGTGTTTCTTCATGAGGTCAACATTGATGGAGGGCAGGGGATCTCTCTCACCTGGACCTCCCTGTCCCATAGTGGGCATGGGTGTCCCATGGGACTGATGAAAGGCCGACGCAAAGTACCCATTTAATAGGTTGGCTTTTTCCTGGGCGTCAGTTGTCCCACCTGGTTTAGCAGGGGTCCAATGTTGCCCTTGCTTTTTCTCCGGCTCCCCACATATCTGAAAAAGGACTTTTTATTGTCCTTGATACTCGAAGCTAGTTGAAGTTCAGTTGCAGCCTTGGCTTTCCTGGTTTGCTCCCTGCAGGACCGGATCAGTGCAGATTATTCCTCCTTGGAGGTGAATCTCATCCTCTATCCTTCGTAGGCCTTTCTTTTTAGCCTCAGGAGGTCTGCTAGATCCCTGGAGAGCCAGGGGGGCTGCTGTGCCTTCTTGCTGCCTTTCCTTTGAGATGGAATAGAATTAGCTTGTGCATTGAGGCTCGCTCCCTTGAGGAGCAACCACTCTTCCTGAGCTCCCCTCCCCCTGGGGTCGTGGTCCCTTAGGGCCTCACTGACAAGCCTCCTGAGCTTATCAAAGTCGGCTTTCCTGAAGTCAAGGCCTTCACTGTTGCTGACTGACTTGCCAGCTTTACGGCGGATGGTGAAGGTGATCAGCTCATGGTCACTGTCAGCCAGCTTCCCATAGATTACTAGATTGCCGATTAGGTCATCCCCAGTAGCCAGTACCAGGTCGAGCAGTGCTTTACCTCTCTTTGGCCCGTAGACTTCTTGAGTCAGGTAGAGGTCATCCAAGCACGATAGAAAGCTTTGCGACCACTCGGATTTTGCTGAGTGATCCTCCCACAAGATGTCTGGGTAGTTAAAGTCACCCATGACAACCATGGTCCTGGAGCATGTGGCCTCAGCCAGTTCCCAGGTGAACTCCTGGTCAAGCTCTTGACTTCGGGTGGGAGGTCTGTAGTAGACACCCACCGTTGTGTCCCCTGTGCCGTTTTCCCCACGCATTTTAACCCAGAGGGTCTCCAGTCATCCACCCTGGTCGCCAACATCAGCTTGCAGGGATGCATAGCTTTCCTTAACATAGAGAGCTGCATTCCCGTCCCTTTTATATACTCGATCTCTCCTGTACAAGGTATAGTCGTCTGTACCCGTGGTCCAGTCATGGGTGGAATCCTACCAGGTCTCCGTTATCCCTATAACATTGTAATTATTTATGTTAAGCAGGAGGACGAGTTCCTCCTGCTTATTCCCCAAGCTCCTGGGATTTGTGTACAGGCGTGCAGGTGTCCCCTTGGGGGCTCTTGCCTTGCCCATAGATTGTACCAGGGGTGGGCTCCCTTAAATTGAAGAATCCTTTTAGATAATTTGTTTAAGATTGTGAGGTTTTGAACTATCAATCTTCCCGTCTTGGCTGTCCTAAGTCTTTATTGTTGACTGAGTCACCCACAAAATCTCAGGATGAGGTTTTCATTTGGACAAAGAGAGACAGGTGTGAAGTAGGGAGGTAGATTTTAGTCATTAACATAAAGATGGCAGTCAAAACCATATTTGTGGGTGAAATTGTTCTGATAGGAGGTAGAAAGGGAAAAAGAGATGGCCACATACAGCGTCTAAAGCAGGGGTGGGCAAAATATGGCCTGTGGGCCAGATCTGGCCTGCCAGGGCATTCTATCCAGCCTGTGGGGCACTTAAAAAATTTAGAAAATATTTATCAGCTCCTGGCTGCCCATCAAAGATGACAGGAGCCAGGGGCAGTAGGACCCAGGGGGAGCTGGCAGGAACCCATCCCTGCCCCATGCCCAGCCAGTTCCCTGCCTTCCTGCTCCCACACTGCTCAGCACCACATGGCTCTCAGCTGCATTTCCAGACCAGGGATCGCAGGGCCTGCACCAGTACCCCAGGGGGTGGGAGTGGGGGGTGTAGGTAGGGACTCTGTGTGTGTGTGTGTGTGTGTGTATTCATAGGGAGAGTCTCACACACCCCCCCCCCCCACTGCCATACACACAGATGCCCACACATGCACCCCCACACACCGCAGCCACCCGCCCCCCACAAACCCCATACCCGGCTATATCCACACATACACCCATATGCTCCTTCACCGCACACCCCGCCCACCTCTCCAGCCCCCACACCCCACGTGCCCACAGCCCCCCACAAACCTATATGTACCCCCCCCAAAATATACAAGAGTAAGACTTCATTTAAGCTGTTATATACAATACCTCTATGTACACTACACAAACGCATGTAAACCAGGGCAAAAAATATTTTTTGAAATCAAATTAATAAATGTTTTAGATGTTCACTTTTTAGAATACAGTTTGGTATTTTTCTGGTTCTGAGATGACAAAACCCCTTGCTGAAGGGAGTACTTCCGGGAGCAAGGGGAGGGACTTCTGGTGGCAAAGGTCAGAGGTTAGGGGGCAGGACTTCCAGTCCCAAGATGGTGAACATGGGGTGGGGCACCTGTCAAAGGGCACAGCTATCTGTACAGCCCTTGACAGCTTGTCAAAATTAGGTCAGCGGCCCTCCACCCAAAATAATTGCCTGCCCCTGGTCTAAAGTGATCCCCATTGAGGTTTGAGAGAGAGGACTATTCATTGAGCAAGACTGTGAAGGAATAGTTAGAGAGAGCAGTCTCAAAGATAAGGTTTGAAAGAATTTAGAATAGTATGGTTTCCAGTTTTACTCCACTGAGTTGCTTCAGTAGAGTAGAGGAGATATATACCATGCTAAGATGCATCTTGAATGAAATCATAGGCTGGGGTAGGTCTTGAATAGAATCATGGGAGTGGTATTTAAGATTGCATCTTCAGTTAAGATGGCAATAAAGGGTAGAAAGAGGAATGGGGTGATAATTTGAAAGGGAGGTGGGATTATAACTGCATTGTTTAAGATGGTTGAAACCAATGCGTGTGTCCTGAGGTGGAAAGGGTTTATAGGACTTACCTAGTATTTTACCACAATTATTTTCTTTTCTCTTCTGGATCCTGGATATTATAGTATTTATTCAACAGCAGAAAATCTTGTTGTAATATTATGTTGACTGCTTGTTTTCATTATGACAGAGAGTATTTGCTTTCTGTATCACACTCTTGCTGTTTAAATAATTGCAGCACAGGAACATGGTACGCTAGTGTCCTTGTGCGACTTCTCCAAGGACAAATATAAAATTTACCCGGCTGTGCCTTCTAAACTTTATTTTTTTTTGTATGTTTCTTGAGAGTCAAGAAAAGATTCAATTAAGGTTAAATTTCCAAAGCAAACAGTGGGATTAAAATAATAACAGCATTTGAGTTGTGCCTCCTGTGCATGGCTTTGAAAATGTACCTGTTAATGTCACTGGCATATTTTCTTCTTTTCTGCATAAACAATCTTGGGTTATTCAAAGCTAAGGCTGCCAAAGTTTGGAGAGGTTTACTTTTGAAGGCTTTTAATTCAACTGACAAGAGCAGTCCATTTATCTTGTGACCTATTTATAGCCATCAAACAAAGTGTAGCCAATGGATCTGCTTTACTTAATGTAGTATGGTAGGTAGCAGATTAAGAGCATGGCTAATGTACTCATGAGAGTAGGTGTGCATATGCCTGATACGGTTTGTTGCAGAAATCTGAGTATACTGTCATTTTTCAAATAAAACAGACTTTGCATTCTGTGATGCAAAGAATGAGAAGTTAATGTTCATTTTTCTGGTCTCAGTAAAATGTTAAATGGCCACTTTCAAAAATCTACTAGCCTTTTGAGGATCAGATGACAAACCTCTTGCTCATGCTGGTGAATCAGTGAAGTCAGTGGGGAGTAGCTTGTAATTACTGTGAAGATGGGGTTCTGGTCCTTATTAATTGATTTTTTTTATGTTGAATTCTCAGCATATATAAAAAATAAATAGTGGGCTTAGTCTTATACCATTTAACTATTGGGAAAGAAACTTTATTTCCAGTGTAAAAGTACAGAGCTCTTAATTGAAGTACTGTCTTTGTTTTTCAGGTTGTTTTTGAAGTAGTCACTTCAGGTCACCCTGGGTACCTGGCTATTGATGAGGTGAAGGTTTTAGGACATCCGTGTAGTAAGTGCCTATATGTTATTTGGAGCTATTTTTTTTTCAAATATATTTGGAACAATATTTGAATATAAATGAAGCACATCAAATATGGAAAAGGTTAACAACAATATTCCACTGCTGTAAAAATGGATTAAGTATATAACAGTCTTTAGAAGGTTTGATATATAATGGTCTGAATTTTAGGTTGCAGTTGGAGAAAACTACATTAAGATACAGATCCAAAAGGGCATTTAGGGGCCTAATTCCCTCTTTCTCCTGAAGCTGTGGCCAATACTTTTCTCCCTGAAAATCTCTCCATCCCTCCCTTTGATTTCACCGGGAGGTTGGGTGCCAAAATATCTTTCTGGATCTAGCCCCAGGCTCCATGTAATTGTTTGATTATTTTTTGTGACATGCATTATACTCACAAGTATTCCTGGTGGTTTGCAAACAGGCACAGCATCATTTAAAATAAAATTAGTTTATTGGTTAATTTTAAAACACCTGATAAAATGGTTTTACTGCTAGCTGCAGGAAGATGTAGACGTTTTTTGAAATGTGGAGATGGTTACGCAGAATCAGCAACTCTGTTATTTCTGACTCACTTAGTTCTAATAAATATACGTGGTTCTCGTGTTGTTAGTATTTGTGCTTAAGCTGCATTTTGAATTTGTATCTGGGATGCAAACAGGCTAAGTCTAAAGTAGTTTTTTGTCAGCATAATAATTTAGCCTGCAAAGATTTTTAGGTTTTGATCTGTGCATTTATAGTGATCGATTCTTAAAGCATGCAAGTGACTCTTAGTAATAGGGAGAGTAAAATATACCCCATAGTGTGCGAAGGGCCAGCTTAACAGTAACAGCTGTGTTGAAATGTATTTGCTTTAATGAAACAGTTTTTGGTAAAATTATTTAAATGGGAAGAATTAATTAAAACATCGAGTCAGTTATGGCATAAACTGGCAAATTGGAAAAAAGTGACAATTGTCAGAATTATTATTTTGTGATGAGGTCTAAAACTTTGCAGGGTTTCTAATTATTCAGATGTTGTACCAGTTTTGTTCATTGTTACTGGCAGAGAAAATACACTTGCAGCCATTAGCTTCAACTTCTTAAACAAAAATGAGAATGCTGGAAAAATATGTTTGGTAAGTATGTAAGCTGTGGCCTGATTACATTTATTGTGGACTAACAGAGGAAAGTCACAGCTCACGTTATAGTGACTTACTATATCATAGAAATGTAGGGCTAGGAGGGACCTCAAAAGATAGTTCAGGCTCTCTAACAAGGTTTTCTTGGTGCTTCGGTAGAGCTAATTTGCCAAAGCTGAAGCAAAAATAAAATAAACTGGTTGGAAACAAGAGTTTAAAAAAGAAAAAGTGACTGAATGCTGTATAGTTTTCTCTTTTTTTTTCCTTTTTTCTCTTTTCTTTTTCTTTTCTTTTTCCTTTGAAAAGTCTATTAGCTCACTAACTGGCTATAGTTCCACAATCAAGAGAACAAAGGCTGCCTGTACACATGCTCAGAGGTGGTGGGGGGGGG